TTATTAGTAGCTCCCACAGTTCAGTCAGACTCTATTGCATTGACCATATTTCAGTACAGTCAGTATTCAGTCTCAGCATGTTATAAATTTGGTCATTGCATCAGTTAGCTCAGTATTCAGTATTTTTCAGTATCTATATCATGTTCAGATTATTTCATTGCTTTATTGCTTTGTTCAGTTATATGTTATTTCAGCTTTACTCTATCCTGCATGCTCAGTACCTTTCAAGTACTGACGCATACTTTCGATACATCTTCTAGTGATATAGGTTCCGGTTCTCAGCATCTAGATCACGCTTAGATCGATTCCCGATCTTCAGTTCAGCAGCATCAGTGGTGAGTCCTCATTCTTCGAGGACTAGTGACATGTTTATCTTTATCGCTTTTAGTCTTTAGTTTCAGTTTTGCTAGATCTAGTTGGGGCATGTCCCAACATTTCTAGTCAGTTTAGAGGCTTATTTCAGACATAGTTAGATTCAGCTTAGTGTTGAGTTAATATCTTCTTTATATTAAACTCATCAGTTTTCATATATCTCAGATATAGTATATGGGTATTCTCCATCATTTCAGACTTACTTTATGATTTAGCTTCCGCATCAGTTATTATTATCCTTAGTATGCTCATGATCATGCCAGCAGGGTTAGCTTGGGATCACTTGTGGTCCTAGGTCTCGTGTCCGCGTCTCGGGGGTTGCTCGGGGCGTGACAAAACTATTGAGGGTACAAATCAACTGGTGATTTCTCGAAGCTTGCTACCAAACGAGGAGATGCCAAGCGTGCAAGGCTAAGAAGTTTCTTAAAGGGGAATACCAGTTGATGTTCAAGTTTATTAACAAAGTAATGGTGCCCCAAACTGAAAAGACAACAGTGGCTTCTGCTGCCGATCTTTTCCTCATGGAAAAGCTTGATAAGCTTGAGGAAATCAACCTCCCTGTTATTATGCTGGAACATATGCATAGAGTAATAACATGGAAGAATGCCAAGCACGGCATTCCCTATGGGTATTTGCTAAACTTTGTCTTTAACCATTTTGAAGTTCCAGTGGGAAAATGGGTACCTGGTACCACCAAGCAGATGTTCACTATGTCTACTCTACTAGAATGCGAGTGCATTGAGGGACATGCTAGGGGAAGATCTCAAGTGGCGGATGTACTGGAGCAGCAGGCTACTCTTAAGAGGAGGTGACTGATCTTACCACGATTCTGAGTGACAAGGAAGTTGAAATCACTAGGCTCAAGCCTGAATTGCAGAAAGTTGTTTCCAGAGGACCTGTTACCAATGAGGGTCATGAGCAGGTGCTCAAAGAGTTGAGGGATGGAAATAAAGTGCTGCTAGAGACAAATGTCTCTCTCAATGAGGAAATTAAGTCCCTAAACAGGCAACTGATACAGGCCCATGAAAATGCAAACGAGCGCATGATGATGTTGATGTGCACTTTTAATTCCTCCCATCCTCCGTCCTAAATGTGTCATGTCTCTCTAGTTGTTGTTTCTTTGTTCCACCTTATTATCCTAAACTTTTGTGGCTTTGTGTTGTTTAGATTGACTACAGTGGTCAGTATTTGTGATGTAATGCTACTTATGTTTTTGCCTTGTTCATGTGTGGTTTGATTATCTCTTCATGTTGTCATACGCATGTTCTGTGTGGCCCATGGCCCTGAATTCTTGCATGCCTCGCATTTTAACTTGAATACGTTTACTGCTCCACCTTTTCAATGATGTCAAAAGGGGGAAAACTTTTGTTTGCATCTTGTTAGGGGGAACTGATTAAATGGGGAATCGATTAAGGGGGAACACCAGTGATAGAAATTGAATGAATGTTTGTTCACTCATGAGGAGTGAATGAAAATTGTTTGTCATCATCAAAATGGGGGAAATTGATAAAGACTAATGTTCCTAGATGTTTTGATGATATCCTCACAAGTGCAGGGACCTGGTCCTCTGCAGAGTATGAATACTCGTCTAGTGTCAAAGTGCTGAATAGCTGTAAAACTGTCCGCGTCAGAAAGTTGGTGAAGCAGCAGAGTACTTCACCAATCAGAAGCGACGAGGTTGTTTGTACGTTGGCTAATGATTCCTCATGGTATATATCAAACAACAAACAACATTATTCATCATTCATTCAAAGAGAGATACTTTCAAGCTTCAAAATAGCAAGGGACCTGATACAAGTGTTTCTATTTGCTTTCAGTACCAGTTGCATTTGTCTGCTTGTAATAGTGCTTATATTGTAAGATTTGTTTCACTTGTGAAAGAAATGTTTCAAACTTGTGTGAATCATTGTAAGAACTAGGTTAAGGGTAACTTAGTTTCTTACTCTAAAGTCTATACTAATCGATTAGAATTAGAATAGTGGGCAGTGTTGTATCTGATCTGGCTCAGCTAAGTAATATGAGGTATTGCTTAGAGCTGAGATTAGTAGGCTAATCTCAGTTTGTAAACTGACTTTTACTTTTGCTTGAGAAGATTAGTGAAAACAATTTGAAAAGTCATGGCAGGCTAGGTCGTGGTTTTACTCCGTTGAGCAAGAAGATTTGCACGTAAAGTTGATTGTCATTCTTTACTTCCAGCATTTGTTGTTTACTGTTTATTTTGATTGTGTTGAGGACCTGGTCCCATTTACATAGGTGGACGCATACATTCCAACATGAATGCATATCCATCTTATTCGCATTCATATGAGTCTTAAGTCTTGACAATGTGGATATGTTATTTTTGGAGACCCAACATCCGTTCCCATATAATGTTGTTGTTCTTACAACCATTTTACAGGGCCTAACTACATCTCTGACTCCAAACACACTACATTTTTTCCCCTAGTAAGTGCAAAATTCCCAATACTTATCCATCCTATCAAGAGTACTACTATAACATTGATACATTTGTTTTTGACTCTATGTATCTGCAGTCTCTTCCACTCAAAACATGCCTAGTTCTCTTTCAACCATATTGTTCTCAGTATGCAATTTGGAATAATCTTACATATCTGCTTCAAGCCCCCTTCTAACTTTTTAAACTGCCAAACTTCCAAAGGGCTGTTGATCTTCTGTGGTAATACCAAATATATGCCCATGATGCTAAAGAAAAGTTCCCAGCATTGTCTTGAGAAGCTGCTATGTAAGAATACCTGATCAACTGTTTCCTACTCAGAATTACATAAATAACATCTGTTGCACAATGAATAACCTCTCGTTTGCAAGTTGTTCTTTGATCATTCCAGGAAGGAGGTCTTATTCTTGGGAAAGACTGAAATAGAAAGCAAAGCAAAGTAAATAGTCTACAAGCAGAACAAAAAACTAGAAGGTATTCTTTAAAAAATTACTATTTAGCACCACAAAACAAAAGGCAGAAAGATAGAAACAGTGTCACGTTGTGAAGTGAAAAATATTAAGGTATCTAGGTCAGTTGTTAGACACGTTTGTTAGTGTCGTAGTTGGACTCATATACAAGTCACACTTGCAGCCTAACTAAATGTGGCATTTGTATTTCTACATAACACATAAAAAACAATCACAGTTTTTATTTTTGAATGGGCAAGAAGAAGTACAGAATTCACTTGGAAGAACGTATTTGAGAGAGAGAGAAAGAAAGAGAAAAAGAGAGAGAGAATTCTTACCACCAAAGAATGATTCAAATATGTCAAAGTGATTGTGTGAACTGCCACTTAGGAAAAAAATAAGAACGTCTCAATGGAGGCACATATTGACTCCAATAAGTAAACTAACGTCTTGCATATTGGTTTAATGTGTCTAGAAACACTTGTCCATTCTACTCTGGAGCATATTGATGATGCATACTTTACATTTCCTGTCTCCTTCAACATGAAAGAACACATTGTGTATATGAAGCAGAGGCCTCATCTCAAGACATTCTTGGAGAGAGTTGCAGATATGTTTGAAATCGTGATTTTTACTGCCAGTCAAAGCATCTACGTGAGTCGATGGAAAGCTAATTTCAAAACGCACTTATAGTGAATTATGTGTATTCTCAGGTGGAAGTTACACTAAGGATTTGACAATGCTGATCTTTTAGGCATACATCTTAATGATTTTAATAATCCTTGTAGAAGCATCCTTCTGTTTTAGGATTTCCTTGTTTTCTTGGATGCTGGACTGGGGGATTGGGAGATTAAGTACATGACTAATCTGCTCATGTGATTTCAGGGTGGAGGGGGGGAACGGAAATAGAGACTCTATGTGGTATCTTACAGTGTCATGCAACTTCTTTGTATTTTGACAAGCATATTCACATAATTTGTTAAAATAATAACATTTCAGAAGGGTGTTGTTTTTTCTTGAACCAGAAATGTGGGAACACACAGTCTTCTTAGTTAATCATAAAATGTGCCTAGAGAAGTATCTAATTTTCATTGAAATCCAAGCATTTTGTTTTTGCACCTGAAAACATATTTCTTTCTTGATTTCAGGTTTTTCGATTGCAAGTGAATAATGGAATTACTATGATCAAGAATTGGTTTGATGACCCCATCAGACTCTGCACTAATGTTAGCATCCTTTTAGTCTACCAATAGTTTTATGCATGGAAAGTTTAATCAGAAAGTTGATTAAATCAACAACTATTATTTATGTTTTTTAGTTTTCTCTGTAGGTCTTCTGTAAAAGGTGTTTTCCCTGTAGCAGTTGTTTTTCTCTGTAGTAGTTATTAGCAATAATGAGGTTATTCCTCCACTTTCTCATTTCAGTTGTAGTAGGAAGTTATTTCCTTGTTGTTATTAGGTGGGTGGTTAATCCACCAATGTTGTATTTAAGTTATTTTAATTCAATGGAAACGGGAAGCAGAAAATTAGTCAAGTTTTTGAGTACTTCAATCTCAAGAGATCGCAGGTTCTCTCTTAACGAACCAGCACCATAGATAGAAAAAGAAAACTTCAGATTTTATCTTGCAGCGTCCCATAACTAGATCCATAACCAGGGACCATAACAACTAACTTCCATTCCTAGAGACTCTGGCTGATGCTGATGATGTCTGTCCTATCATTGCTAAGAAATTCAGTAACAAGGAATATGAGTCCCTTGTCTCTTCCTAGTAGTTCCTCTAACTGTCTCTCATTTCTTACCTCATGTTAGACAATTTATCCTTCATTACTTGCTCATTGTTATCCCTCATTGAGCCTTATATAATTGTTTATGCAGTAAAGGTTAGGTCCCGAGGTCGATTTCCAATTGAGTCAGCTTTTGCTGGTCATTTTCTTCTCTTTACCCTTTTGACAACCTTTTTCAATCTACTCATCTAATTTGTCCCTGCAGATAGTTGCAAAAGGTTCTCAATGCACATAATATATCTACTTGAGCATAGTTTATCGAGTACTATCAATTCGTGCAGTGAGCATAAGCTTTCAACTTTATGTAAAATTGGCACCATAGAAGATTCTATATGAATTAGTATATTACTGAATCTAATGAGCTACACTTGGCACGATAGAAGATATTGTATGAATTAATATATTACTGACACTTAAACTAAAGTAAATGAGAAGTCTTATAATTTTATAAAAGAGCTTCCTAAAACATCTCTTGCGCAGATTGAAACTAATGTAGAAACTACTTTTGGGTTATATATAAGTTAAAAGGTTCATTGAAGTTGAAGATGAAATAGCATGCAAAGGAATGCATTAGTACTTGTTAATTTCTCCTAAAACAGTATGTATCAGTATCAGTGGTATATATAATTTCATTGAGAAAATCTGCTAAACTTATCTCAAAGCATACATAAGACTACTGCCCGTATCGTCTGTTGGTCAAGGATTCTACTAGTGCTAGATTAAACACCTTCTTTTTCCAGTTATGGTTATGAGGTTATCATTATTACAAAAGGAGAGTAAGTTGAAAATAAGAAACAATATTTTCATGGCTGATTATCAGCTATAGCCTTGAGCCAATTGTTCAATTATTTACCATGTTAAGTGCAATTAAAACTTTATTTCTAGAGTTCTTTAATAATGGCGTAGATTTCCCTTTCGTGGTCCAAGGAACATGCTGAAAACCTTCTACATGAAAATACCACCTAAACTACAATGGTCACAATTTGTTCTAATCATTTAATTCTCCTTTTATGCCTATTCTTGTATTTTGGCAAAATTGTAGTTCAATTTCTTACACTGTTGATCTTTACCGAGCTGATGCATTTGCAGGCTCTTTATTGTGGTGGAGATATTCCCATAGACAATGCAGATGATATTGAGAAACTGAAAGAGGTTAATCTGCAGAAACTTAGAATGAGTTAATGTAAATCTCATCTTTTGGTAATGCTTTGTGCTATTTCTATTTTTAATTAAGATTCATGATTAGTTCATATGTACCAAATTAAGAAATTGCTGCATCCCATCATTTGTCACTGAAAACGATTATATATAGTAAATTAGTGAGCAAATGAAAAGACTGAAACACAGGGATCGTGTTTCTATACTCTCAAGCACAACAGTTGGGAAAAAATTAAAGAAACATGCAAGTTTGGAGAGGAATCTCTAGGTAAAAGAATAGGTAGTTGATTAATTTATCATGGCAAGTTGCCTTGTCCAATTCAATGCATTTATAGTTCGATTGCAACTGCATTGGGCTTCTAATACTTGATTGCATCTTTTACTTGCATTTGGGCTGTGGACAGTCCAATACCAAAGATATCTATCTAATGTTCAGAATATCAGGTGAAAGGAAGCAAAAGTTATATGGGAAGTTGCTTAATTTCTGATTCAGCCATTAAAAAAAGTAGAAAGTTGCTTCATTCAATTTCTTTTTCTGTCAAAAGTATAAAGATTGACTCCTTGCATTTGATACCCTTTTATATCAGAAGGAAAGGAAGTAAATCTTGCAAAGTAGGAAATGTATTCCAAGGCTTCATTAACTTACGTGCTCTTGTTAGAATCTGCAGTTATTTAATTTTAGCGACGTTTTCGCAACCTCACTAGTACTTTTAACCCTTTAATTGAAAACACAACGTTATCAATTGTTTATAGTAGCTATTGTATTTACATACTTTTCATGGGATGCAGCAATTTCTGTCGAAAGTCATTGTTGTACTGCATTTTTTTCCTGTTATAGTTTGCCTAGGTTGTGCTCCTGTATTTCAAAGTGGCCTGACATGATATACAGTTTGTCTTCAAGAGTACTAGTGGAATCAGCTATCCATTAACATTGAGTGGTCTTTTTAGATGGTAGATAAGGTCGCCAATAATTCATTTAGGTGAAGAAAAGTTGATTTTTCCCTACACTTGTTTCATGATAGGACTTTTTTTGCACATTTTCCCTGACAATTTTCATGACTAGTTTGTTTTATGGACAAACATAAAGGTTCTATCCCAATTTATTTGCCTAGGAAATAACACATTTCAAAGAAATCATAAGTAATCAACCACCAATTTTTGTTGCAGGGGACTTATATTGATTGATTATTCTGCCACCAAAGAGACCAAGTTCAATTCATCTGTTTAACTTTTACTCGCTGCTGGCTTATCCAATGGATTCCAGAGTAGCATAATATCATTTCCAGTAAGCATGATATTCATTATGGAATTTTTTAATTCTACATTTGCGTTTCCAATAATTTGTCTGTATACCTATCCTGCTGAAATATCTGTAGCCTCATTTGTGAAAAATTATAGATAGGCATGTGGAAGGTGATAAGTCTTGGATTCAGGACACAAGTCTTTTACTTTAGTTGATCAAGTAAGTCAAGACAAAAGTCTTTTCAATACTGAAGTGACCCGATGCTTTGGCTCATCTATAGTTGTATATTTAGCTCCAATAATTTATTCCTCTCTAAAGTTTTTACCGTGTCAAATCCTCCATAATTGCAAGATGTGCCCGACCCCTACCAGCTAAAATTTACTGCTTAGTAATTTTAAGGATGATGATTGATCTCATAGTCAACAACTCTCCAACTTAGTTGCAGGTACTGCACGTCGTTAATCAGAAACACTTTATCTTCTTTTATCCTAAGCTGTCTAGCTAATTATGCTGCGTGTTTTGAACAAAGACAGAGATAGATATCTTAAATGGTAAGACTTGACTATTATGCTTAGTGCTTAGATACATCAATGTGAACTTTTCAGATGTAGTAATATATCTCATGAGAACAACTACTACTTAACAAGTATTTTGACTCATGTGTAGTTATGAATTCATCATCATTTTTTCCAGTCCAATTTGCAAAGATGTTGACCTCTAGAAAACCCACTAAATTAATAAAGACAATGTGGTTTGTATATATCTTTTCTCTTTTTACCTGGTACTCATGTCTTGTTGGACTCCTTTTTTGCCCCTTTCTACTTTGTCTTTCTCCACCTCTAATTTGTTAACTTTCTAATTTTATACTATAAGGCATTATCATTAAAGCCCCAACTGAAAACCGACCAATCCTTTTTAGTCAAAACTAAAGAGGAAAAATGAGTCAAAAATACTTAGCTTTCAATAACATATATAGAAATGTCAAACGCACTAAGCTTTTAACAATTGCTGCTTTTTCTTTTTCAAGCAAAGCTACTTGCAATTAAAGTACTTGTGAGATTAACAAATATCTTCTTAAGCTTAATCCTACACGTGTTTGCAATTAGATAAGTGTTTTAGTATTGTTATCTCATCTAATCTCTCATCTTCTTCTTTTTTTCCCAATAAACTAATCTTTTGTTCCTTTCTTTCTCAGTTTGTAATGGCCAAAAAGGTATTGGTTCATCTTTAATAGTCTTTGTTAAGTTTATCATTCATTTGGAATGAAACATACATGTTTGGGTGAGTGAGAAAACACAATGTGGGACCAATACTAAAGAGATATGTTTATTATTAATATTATTTTTTGTCATTTCTTTTTTCTTATCTTGTGATTTAATAATTTAGAGGTTCCCAATTGAAGGTAGACTCTTTGATAAAGAATGTGAGTTTTCTAAAGGAGACAAGTTTTACCCTAAGTTTTGTCAAACTATTATTGCTAGAGCTCTAAAAGCAACAATTGTTGTGTCTTACAAATAACAACAAATACTCCCTTCTTTAGTGGTGCCCCAAAAGTCCACACTAGGTGACACTTATATATATAAAAAAAATAAGTGAGACGGTATCGTGGTTGTCGTCGTCGTCTGCATGTGCTAGTTTAGAATGGTCCACTACCCACAATTGCACCACATGATGATTTATTTTTTTTATAATAGAAAGAAGAGTTTGATTTCTCATTTTCTATACAACATGGTAAAAATTTTGAAAAAATCTTTGTTCCATAGCCTTGGGACTATTCATAACGAGTCAATTAAGAAGTCTTAGGTATATTAGCATTTCTCCTGAGATGTCATAATTGTCACAAGCAAAGATACTAATGACAAGAAAAGCTTACTTATTATGCTTTTAATACTTGTTTTGTTTTTCTGCCCAAACCTAGTTAAGGAGGAGTTACAAGCGCAAAACAACTATCAAATCAATCAGATAAAGATCGATAATAAGTGGAAGATAACTACAATGGAGTTAAATGGTGTTTGGATTGAGTTAAAAGTTGGTCAAATCTACTTTTAAGTCAATTTTTGACTTCTGGAAGTGTTTGACAAATATAAAAAATAACTTAAAATAAGTTACGAAGTGTTTGACGAGGTAAAAAATGACTTAAAATAAGTCAGAAATCAAAAGTAGGTTTCCCCCTACTTTTTATTTTTTGACTTACAAAAATCATTTAAGTTTGACTTTTTATTTTTGACTTAAAAACTACTTTTTTTAAGTCAATCCAAACAGGCTCTTAGTAATTTGGAAGACAAAACAAGTCACATGGAACAATAGATTAAAATACAATCAGATCTCTCTATAATAATGTTGTTTATCTGAATATCTT